CATCGTGTGATGCTGTTACAGAAACACCAGCTGTTGTTCACGAATGTAAAAACACGCAAAATATGAGATTTCGCTAAAAGGATTACTTGATTTCACTGATCATTTTTGCTTTGAAATAGGTTATCAACGTCGGTAAAGAAGTTCAGGTGAACAAGGATAGTGTTTCTGTGAAAGACGAGAGACCATTAGAACAATGAAACCTATTTAATTGGAATAATATCATGAAATAATAGAGAATTTCGTTGAACTGAGGCTGAAACGTATCAAGCAACATATGTAACCAAATTAATATTTGGAATGATAATGGATGGATTTTGTTAACAGAAGTTAACAGATTACACGTTCATACACAATAAAACGACGTCGGTTTTGATCTCGTTTCACTGAATATACCCAGTCGACGGAAAAAGATCTGCGGGACCAAATGGTTGAGGAAGTTGCCACTAGATCGTGCGCAAGTTGCAAGATGCATTTCTTTCATCGTTCTTCTATAAATGTTCATTTTTATGACATATTCAGTTAATTTTCTGATCATTTCCCAGATTCGGAGAAAATATTTGTCGCACGAAATTAACAATAAAACACATATATCCTTATATTTTTCCTTGGATCCGAAATATCGTGACTGTAAAATGAATACTTGTTTGCCGAATTACCTTAATTTTTTGTTATTTAAAGTCGCATTAACATCGAGGTCATTAACGATGACTATTGCATTTAACAGTTTGGTAACTCTAAAGATGACATGATATAATGATGATAGGGGGCGAAAGCACAAACCATGCCCCCAAATGCAATCATGCCCGAGGCGGGACTCGAACCCGCGATCCTTCGGTCCGATATCGCTTTGGCACTACTGCTTCAACCATCTCCAACATCCGGACCGAATTACCTTACTGATTGTAAAAAATATAAGGATATTTGTGTTTTAATGAAAAAATGTTGTTTGTACAGTTACGGTTTTAAAACGTACTTGTTGAGTGGAGTAATTCGGATTTCATTAAATCCGACGTGTTTGACCGTAACGTGTTTCTTTTGAAGAGTTTCGCAATGCGAAAACCGTAGCGGAGGCATGTGCTTCCTTGCTGAACAACTAAAACGCTTAACATCGATTTCCCTGCGTCAGGGTGGATGGCAGACGCATCGGATATTTGCACAACACTTTTGGGAAGAGTAAAGCGAAACACTGGACTCGGGTGCGCTGGGAAGCAAAAGACACAAAGATTTTCCCTTCGGTTGAGAAGAGTCTCATGTTCTTCCCTGATCGGATGCGGCAGGAGTCGTTTGAGTGCAACGTTTCTATCTTTCCCAGCTTCACTCTTGCTGTTTAAAGGTAAACATAAAGCGTTTCGTTTGTGAACTGTGTCGTCAGATTTTGTTTTCAGACGCGCGATTTCAAAGCGCGAGTGAGTGCGTATTGATTACAGGCGCGTCAACTACTTAGATCATTATTCCCATAAATGTGGTATTGCTCTTCAACTTCAACGTGAGATCCAGTGCAGAACCCTTCGGTTTGGGATTTTTCTCCCTTTTAGTTTTTCAGCCAACGGAGCCCCACCTTAGCCAGGACAAGCTCTAAGCCAAGAGAGGTGGCGTAGGGCATCAAATGATGTTACTGCAGTGTCTCTGACCGGGAAGTCCTGTGTTCGAGTCCCGACGGTGCTAGGGTTTTCGACACTTGCTTTATAGCCAAGTCAGTTCAGGTGCTGTCTAGAGAAGAATTCTAGCGCCTGAAGGCGAATTCTAGCAGCCGGCTGATTTGATCGACTTTCTACAATCAATACCAGGCGAGTGCGGGGGTAGTACTCTAACAAACGGGCCACGGACAGCGGACATTTTTTCCTTTATTATTCCTTATCCTATGCTCACCAGCTTACTTACACTTACAGCCACTACACTATCAGACTTGCCGGGAGACAAATCGGGCGCTTGTCTCGGCTGAGGCGGTGCCTCGCTCGTGCGTAAAACTTTGCTAGCTGACGGTAGGTCGGCGCCAGATATCACCATCCAGCGGTGAAAAATATAACCGCCACCTCCTGAGGAAAATCATGCATTGCACTTACGGGACCTTAGCAACTGAAGCA